GTTTCGGTCGCTACCCGGATTCGAATCCGGGACCTTTGAATGAGAGGCCAACACCTTAACCTCTAGGCCACGAGAGCCCCCTGTAATTATGTGGGTGTAAGGGGTGTTAATCAAAGCTGTTAAGGATCTCCTCCTACATGGACAATACATTCAGAGGTCCCACTTCGTAATTAAGCTAACAGTGTTGAAAGTGGCGTTATCCAACACAATTTCGCCATTTCGTTTCACCCACAATCCAACAGCAGGGGGGGGGGGAGATGTCTGTGTGACGTCAGCAGCCTGTTGAGCAGACAGTTATTGTGATGTTTGTTTAAACGTTTGTCGGTGACAGGTCCCCCAGAGAAAGTGACAGGGCCTCTCCTCAGCCTTCACGGCTCGGTTTGACAAGAAGGCATAAGCCAGCCACTTTGGCCACGGATAAAAACTGTCACCAGAAACCGTTCTAGTCACAATGTACGTATGCGGCAGTCTCATAGACCTGTACTCCTTAACCCTATCCGTACGTCGTGTTTTACTATCGTATCCATACGACGTGGGCAACTCTGTGCCACCACTTTCCAAAGACAAAATTTACTCGTTAATCCGATCCGTACGCTTTGCATAGCTGTCTGTCAAAATGATTTTTTTAGAAACTCTGACATGGCATTATAGGCAGTGAACGCCACGGCACTGTAACAAAACAACATTATGCTTCAAGTCTCTGGACAGACACGCAACAGTTATACCTTACATAATAATTATACTATATAAAGTTAATAATAATAATAATAATGATGATACTAATAATGATAATAATAATAATAATGATAACGATAATAATAATTATTATTATTATCATTATAAATGACATCTATTTTATATAACGCCCCAACCACGATTAAAGTACACAGGCTCTGAGCGCTTTACAAAACAATACAACGTACAACAGAAACATTAAACGTTGCGTTCCTACCAAAACAAAATCTCTTTGAATATTTATTTTATCAATTTAAAAACAGAAGCGACTTCAGCTGAAATTTGAATGAATCAAAGTTATTAAAGATTTGATCTCTCTTAACTAAACTACTTGGCAAACCGTTTTTGATCTTAGGGCCTTGATTTTCACATGCCCTTTCTCCTTTCACCCATTGTTTCAAAAAACTTACATCCGGGTTTTCCACGAAGAAGTTTGTGCGGGACAATATCTCATGGAACAGCTTCTGGTCTGCGGAGGTAGAGAGGAAAGAAAACCATTGTTAGCATTCACTGTTGTCGTAAGTGGAATAAGTGTACATCATTTAAAGAAAAAAAAGGAATGAGAGTATTATGTGGTGGAGAA